TTTATTTTTATTTTTAATAAAATTTATAATTATTGCAATGCAATTATTATAGTATTAGGGTGGTGTAGTGGGGGGCTTCGCTCCCCACGGGTATGTGTACTATAAATTATTTCAGCVCCCCCTAAATTCACACCCTATGTGCGCCTATGAACAGGGCACTTGTTTTCTAATTTTCCATAAACATGCCAAATTGCCAATGATAAGTAGAACTAAGTTGGTTATTGGTTTTATAATTTCCGTCAATTTTGGTTGCATGGTCAGAATTCGGGGTACATACACTGTTAAATTTTAATGTACGTATAGCCACCAAAGCTGTTCGTTAGCCAAAATGGCATTTTATAAGATTAAAGGGAAAAAAATGCATAAGTCACTAAAATCCTATTTCTACCGACTACCGCCGAACATTAATTTACTGTGTGCCGTCTGAATTATCAGATGTAAATTCCATATTGCACATTGGCACATTACATTGCATGTGACGACGCACCTTCCGAATGGCCGAATTCTATTTCCTTTTTCCTGGATTGCACAAAGTATTTGATTCAGGTATTCGTTAGGCAGTCACGGAAGACGGTTCGTACACCCAAGTAGCAAATAATAAACCCAACATACTACATAGCAAGGCCGCGGAGGTACATTGAGCTCACGATCGCGATTCGCGACTCAGATCACTCCGCGTCTCCGCGGTCCACATTTCCACAACAGACTCGTCAGTCGTCGACCATGCCACCGAGGTATATACTATATACTATATAGTAATCTATGGGTAACTCGTCGACCGTCGTTACTCGTTGCTCTTGGATAATCAATTCAGGCGGCGCCGCGGCCTATCGGCATTCAGTGGCAACTCGCGAGTCGCGGACCGCATACCGGGAGCAGCACAGTAACGTCGGTGGGGGGACGGTGCTGACGGCTGTGGGTGCGGTTGCGGGTTGTGGGGGGGAGGTCCAGAGCTCCCAGTGCTTTATTATAAAGATTATTTATGTGTCGTCGTTCCCATCCCGTCCCGTCCGTCCGCCCGTCGGTGCGTGTGCTTGTGCGTTGTTCGATCCGAGTGAAAACACAACAATAACAAACGAGACGTCTTATATTCTCCGTTCTCGGGTGCCGATCTGGCAACTCGCTTGCGTTTTATGATGGTGCCGCGAACGACGATCTACGTACACGGGGTTACAACGACCGAGGTGGATCTGCGTTGATAACGCCGCCTAGTGCGTGTACCGTGTGTGTGTAGTGTGTGTTTGTGTTTGCGTGTTACAGTCCGAATTTGGACACGACAATGGAGGAGACCAAAGTGATATATCACATCGATGACGAGGACACGCCGTACCTCGTCAAGCTGCCGATTGCAGCCGACAAGGTCACGTTGGCCGATTTCAAAAACGTCCTTAATCGGCCCAATTATAAGTTTTTCTTCAAGTCTATGGACGACGACTTTGGGTCAGTGATAAGAACAGTGTTGTTTTCCTCGTCGTTTGCCAAGTGCTGACGGCAACAATTATTTAGTATTTTGTTATAACGCTACTCTATTAAACCCATATTTGATCGACCAAATCGGTTTAAAAAAAGCTCATCGATGTTTTTACTTTAAACCATTGCGTACCACATACCCCACGGACTATTATAGTCACCAACACTCCGTTAAAACATGTACTTGGTATCTCAAAACAGACTTTGGTGAAATCATATTTCTATTTTCTATAGAACTCCTAACTATTTTGGCATCTTGTCAAGAACATAATCCATCAACAACTTAGATTCATTTAGTTCACACTTGTATTTTTTTTTATGAAAAATATTTTTTTAAGTTCTCCTCCTAAACTTGACAGGATATTGTTTGTTCACTTTCCTTCAATTTTTTTGTTTATTTATTAATTTAATAAGGAAGCCAAAAGTTCAGGGATAGTTATGCAATTAGAAAATCCTCATCTGCATTGTTGGAGAGAAAAAATAAATATTCTTTAAACTTATCACAAGTCACATCAAGCAGTACAGATGTGATTTACATCAAACTTTATTTTTATAGCAATTAGCAATGTTATACCATCATAATGGCATATATTAACAATGTATTCACTCCTGAATTGCCTACCATTATTCTCATCTTAACAATGAACCTACCTAGATTGTTTCATACAATTATTGAACCTTTGGTATTCATTGATTACACAATTTGTTTAATTTAGTAGTTCTTAACTATTCCTTACAAAAATTAAATATCTAAATAAACTTACATCAGCCTACTAATATAATTAATTTTTAGTATTTAATAATTATGCATTTGTAATTATTATATCAACATTTTCCTACATTTTATTTCAGAGTTGTCAAAGAAGAAATTGTTGAAGATGATTCTCCCTTGCCATGTTTTAATGGCCGTGTTGTTTCATGGGTAGGTTTATGTATTTTATTTTATTTTTTTATATACATCTACTACTTCTTAATTATAATGAATGTATTTAAATTTGCTTAAAAATATATTAATCTAGTACCTACTTGAAGTTACCAATATCATATTTAATTTCAGTTAGTTGCTGCTGAAGGTAGTAATATTTCTGATGGAACATCTCAAGGCACAGATTCTGGTCATCATACACATAGAACACAAGGCGATAATCAGTTAGTATCACTTGAAAATGTACACATTATTTATTTTACAAACAAGGATATATAAT